GGGCAGCCAGCGTGAAATACGCATTGGCACCTACAAACCTAACAGGGATACTTCACGCGTTGCGCAAGGCGTGAAGTATCCCTGTTAGGTTTGTAGGCGCCAGTGCGTCGCCGCTCCGCTTCGTGTTAGGCTCTAATATTTAATCTGGCGGAGTCAGCGTTATTCAACTCATGATGTTGAAATGTTTGCACATCCTGTATGGATTATTCTCATATTTTAATTGATGGAAAAAAATATGTATCAAAGGAAAATATAATGTGTGTTTTGTAAATATTAAGGTAGTTTCGTATGAAACTTAATGATTTCCAAAGCACACGGATTTCTACACAATTTCTTATAGCCTTTTATAATCGATGGCGAAAAAGCAACAGCCAGGCGATAAAGTGTAAAGCCCGGCGATAGGAACTTTATAAAAAATACTGTGAAATCAGCTTTTTAAGCACTTTCAGATGAAGCAATGAAAAATTTGCATGCAAATTCTCCATTCTATTTATCGATCGAGGCCATTTAATGACGATTCGACAATCCAGGCGCAGCGTCCCCTTCGCTGAGGGAGGTATGAACGGAAGGAAATAAGACCCGCCCGCTGTAAGCTGAAGAGAAAATCCCTTCGATCAGATCGGCGATGCGTCGAGTCCCTGTTTCTAAGAGTTGAATGCTGGATCCAAAGTTTAAGGGATGGCGCTGGACCCCGATCAAAGCCTCAAAAGGCTTTCTCGGCCGCGAACACTTAGCACGACGAATTGCGGATAGGAAAGACCGGGGAGGGGGGAGGGGCGTGAAAGCTCTTTGGCCGCGGCTCAAGCCCAGGTTTATCAAAACAACACTAAGCATGTGTAAACATCGGTCCAACTTTCAGAACAGCGTTGCCGAAGAAGGGTCATTTGGATCCCGTTTAGCAAAGAGGAACCAGCGCGGTTACAATGTTTCAAAAATGTTGCTTCTACGTAGTTATTTGAAAGATCTCTCATAATAGCAAATATTTTTTACTTCCCACAAAAAATTGTCATTTTAAAGGGAAATAATTGTGTAAATTTGAATATTCTACATATATTGAGTACTTTCAAAAGGAAAGAGAAAGTTGCACTATTTTGGAAACACCGTAATCACGCTGGTTCCTTTTTGCTAGATACGATCCATTTAATGTATGGCTGAGAAGGAATTCCCTCTAACTCCAAAAGGCTATTTAAATAAACTCTATTGTAGACCATCAGTGTCCGTTTCTTCTAATTTTGAGGAAAAAGTAAAAATAAAGAAACGGCACAACATTTTCGCCTCGACTTTTTTTTCAAAGGAGAAAGAAAACGTAGGTATCGGGTTAATTAATTACAGGACACAAAACGGGTTAATTTTTTAAAATTTTTGGGCGATCCTCACGCTAAATGATACAGAAAGAACACCTCTAAGCTGTGTTACATTTACTTGGGATTTATTTTGTTTCATACAAACTGATTGCGGTGGACGCACGGGTTGTAAGACGGTATGTTGGAGTTTTTTAGCCAACGTGCATTAAATTCAGCATAAAGCTGATATCTCATTAGAGCAAAGAAACTCACACGGAAACACAATTTTCCCCTACAGAGATGCCAAATTCATGCTGAATTTAACGCACGTTGGCTAAAAAACTCCAACATAACAATTCTGTCTCGGTCATATCAAACGAGGCGATTTGATTGATACTCCAAATGATCGGTTAAATTAACCGGAGCCTTAGGTTACTCCGAGACATCACAGGATTAAAGAAGTGTCCGACTGACCTAATTTACCCAAGTTTTCTTGGTTTCCAATCATACCTTCCGATTTGCAAGTGTATTGCGCAGCGTATTGGCACATCTTATGCAAATGTAGATTCAACTTCAGCCTACATGTTACGAAGCTGTGGTGGATACCGGTCAATTTAACCGATCATTTGGAGTATCAATCAAATCGCTCCGTTTGATATGACCGAAACAAAATTAATCCAAAGTAACCAAAAAGACATGACGTCAGGTGCGATGGTTCTCAGAATGAAAAAAGTGAGAAATAAAATTAATGTTATGTAAATAAATATAACCTAGCCTAGAGGTGTTCTTTCTGTAGCAGTTACGGTTGGAGTTTTTCGACCAAAAGATCTGGTTAATTTAACCGAAAAAAACTTACCGAAAGAGACTGATGGAAAGTTTACGTTACTTAGTGTTCTCCTCCGAATAATAACGCAAAATTACAAAATGTCTATATTAATCTAAGAAGAAGGCCCTCTTTACGCTGCCTTCATGGGCGTCAACATGAAAAACTCGGGAATGCAGATCGTTGGAGGAAAATTGGAATCCTCCAACAAAGAGCCCGCGACGTGTCTTTGTCCCGGCCATCTATGCTCAATTTTCATTTGCATGTCAAGTATTTGCAGCTGCGTGGAGCAATTCCACCGCGAACCCGGGATCCGAGGACGCGATCGGAAGAAAGAGCTCTCAGCGGGATATTTGCAACAAGTTGTTGGCCCGGGATCCGAGGAAACCGCCCGCAAACTATTTCAATTCGAGCGGCGTTCAAGCGGCGAGGACTTCCACCGGGAAAGCTCCAATGATCGCACTCTCGCAGTTAGCGCCGAATGAAAACTTTGGATCACAGCCGACATCCGCGGAAAAATATGGACGTTTATAATGCAATCCAAACAATTTCACTCGGGAAATAAACACTCGGTACCGCGCCTCGAAGTTTCGCGAGTGCTGTAAATTATTGATTGCCGTGTTGTTCGAACGCCCGACGACGGAAGTTTGGTTGTATAACCTCATTGTCACGGAGGCATTCATTCAATGCGCGTAACTATCTGGAATATCGCCGATGTCACGTATAGACTGATTTAGTGGCTACATCATTCGATACAATATCGAACCCTTAGTTCAAATGGGCATATTTTTGCCAAACGGAACTATGTGCATTATGGTGTGAGCCTTGGTATACATGTATACTCATGGGTCTCAGGGCTCATGTCTTAATACACATAATTCCGTTTGGCAGAAATACATCCAAATGTAAACAAACACAGTACCTTTTTCCTGATTCGCGCCCTTTGCGCCATGGTGGTAAAATGCGTCCAAGTGTTTCTTACAATATACATTTCTCGTGTTTAATGAGTCTTTAATGGATATATGACCGGTCGATGACTAAATTCTATTAAATTAACACAATGAACTCATGAAAAATTCGTACATAAGGTTATGTTAGTTTGTTCTGTTTCGAACCAAGAGTTCGATAGAATCTGGAATGACGTGGTCACTAAATCAGTTCATTACTAATTGAGAGCCGCTCACAAAATACGTAACGAAAAAATCGAACTTCTTTACTTCCCTGCCCTGCCCGCACCCGAGGTTATGGACGAAAGAACGTAACTATATATCAATGTTGCCGAATTCCTCCTCGCAAATTGCATTTTTACCAGGGGAATCTTTGGCATATTTAACAGAGGGTTTTCCAGATTTTTTCTCTAATCTCATACGAAAATCAAACAAAATTTAGACAAAAATTTCACGGTTACGTCTTTGTAAAAAAATTGAACTGCTTGAGTCAATTTTGTAACCTTGAGGTAGAGTTACATTCCTTCGTCAGGGAAACGATCAATTGCTGTACAGTGGCGTGGCGTGCTTTGCGATATATCGATTGATCTGCCGTTTAAACCTATGGAATAAGATCGATAGATTGGGTGTTATCGCCATTGGCTATATAAGGCTATAAGAAATTGTGTAGAAATTCGTGTGCTTTGGAAATCATAAAGTTTGATACGGAACTACCTTAATATCTCCAAAACACACATTATATTTTCCTTTGAAACATATTTTTTTTTTTCATCAATTAAAATGAGAATTATCCATACAGAGTGTGCAAACATTTCAAAATCATGAGTTGAAAAACGCCGACTCCGCAAGATTAAATATTAGAGCCTAACACAAAGCGGAGCGGCGTCGCACTGGCGCCTACAAACCTTACAGGGATACTTCACGCATTGCGCGGCGACGCACTGGCGCCTACAAACCTAACAGGGATACTTCACGCATTGCGCAATGCGTGAAGTATCCCTGTTAGGTTTGTAGGCGCTAATGCGCGTTTCGCGCTCTCTGCCCGCCCGCCCGCCGCGCCGCAGCGTGCCACGGAGTCTGAAGCAACTATTTCACATCAGAGTTATTGCACAGTATCATAAGATATTGAAGGCGCTCTAATATATTAGAAATGGCAGGCATCCATCAAAAGTACGGAGCTTTCCTCGCAAAATAAATCAAGATGCTACGGCCTAAAAAGAGAGCAGTAGTGCAAAAACTCACTAAGTCCTAGCATCCGTAATTTGTAACGTTTAGCATAAACTTTATCGTCTGGCTGTTGCTTAGTCGCCATCGGCTATAAAAGGCTAAAAGAAATTGTACAGCCGGCTACAGAAGCTATTGGAAATCATATAGCTGGCTGTACAAAACGGAGCAAATCATATAACCGGGCTATTCGAAGCTATAAAAAAGTATACAGTCGGGCCATAGTTCCTATCGCCGGGCTTTACACTTTATCGCCATTGGCTGGAAAAGGCTATAAGAAATTGTGTAGAAATTCGTGTGCTTTGGAAATCATTAAGTTTGATACGGAGCTACCTTAGTATGGCATTACCTACCGGCTACCTTAGTATAAGAAATTGTATAGCCGGCTTTAGGTCTACGGTATTTTGGAACACAGATTCTAATGCCAATTTTTACCAGGGAAAACAAAAATACATAAAAAAAAGACTTTTTGTTATCACGAAATGAGGGTCCAGGTATTTTGATTTTTACATATAAATTAAGTCTTATGGTTTTGTTTCCTGGTCATGTAGGGGTTCGATACCACCCCCAAAACGTCCACGGCTTCGTGTTTTGTTGTTTTAGCCTTGGTTACCCGTTTTCTTGTTGCTGATTCACATAACTCCATTACTTACGCCGGTGAAGAACTCGGAAATTCCTGGATGCGCAAATTCAAGATCATTTCGGATAAAAGTAAGCATTTACCTCTCAGTGGGAGTCCATTTAGATGCTGAGACAGCGGTCACGGGCAAATCCTTGATCTAGGTCAAAATCCACAAACCCGAACGATCACAAAAGCACAGAATTTGGACTTTTCCGATGGGGATGAATCCCAGGTTTCTCAACTCAAACGAGTTTCACAGCACAAGAAAATGTCTATTGTTTTTGAAACACTGACGACGACTACGGGGAGTCTCAATTAAAAATCGGCGATAACTTATGGGCTACACAACCGCGTTGATGTGAAGTGTTAAGCGTGTCCGTTTGAAATCACTACAGTTCGGTCATAATGCACGTTGAAAATGTTAGTACTGCGAATCAAACGTATTTAGAAGTCATAGAAATACCCGATCAGAAAGTGTGAATAGCAAGCGAGATCTTGATTTTAAACTGCGGTTTTTTACGACTGCAGAAGTATCCATTCATCTGTAATCGGCTGACCACACAGGAAAAAAATCATAATTAGAATTGGAGGTTGATTCAGCACGTCTACATTCGAAAAAATCAATACCTAGTGATGGTACACTTTGAGCTCATAGTTTGCGTAGTTTTACCATCGCTTTACATTCGCTTTATTTTAAGGAGTAGTAACCGTCGTGTTTAGGTATATCTTTGGGCTAGTTATTGAAATTGATAGACAAAGCAATATACATAAAAGACATAGGGACATCCTATTGGTGGAAACAGGTGGCTGCAACGGACAAAGGGGTAAGTAATATGCTGACTAACGGCAACCGACAATAAGCCGCATTTAGATAGTCTACCAGTTTCCTCTTTAGTCTCCAGAACCACCCGTTTCAGCCAATAGGATTCCTCCAAATCCCTTTTGTCTTCTTTGTCTATAGCTTTGTCTATCAATTTCAGCAATCGCGAAGGTGTTTCAAAAGGTTGAGTCCACTGTGAATTTTATATGTCGTTACCTCAACCGTGATTGCGGTCCGTAGCTGAGATACGAACTAAAGCATTGCTCCGTTACATGTTTCTTCCTCAAAGTTTTCCGTAGGAGAGAACGAATATTTTAGGAATACAAATTCTAAAGAGGATTTACGTATGTATGTGATAAGTTAAGCATGATCGAAAACATAAAATACACAATGTTCATGATTTGCACTCAATTTGATCATTGTTAAGTATAATACATTTCAAAATCTTGCTTTGGGGTTGATCCTCGAGCTCCTTGTTGCATAAATCCTACAATCCTACAATATTAAATAGGCTGTTAAAATTGTGTATAAAGATCCATAGATGCTGGCTCGACTACCCACGCAATGAATTGTACATCCTGGGAATGCAAACTTAACTGCGAGGTCAGTCTAGCCAGCATTCAGGGGTGATCCAGACATATTTTATTTTTATTTTTTAGTACTTTATACGTAAAATTTAAAGGAGAAACATGCCGAGAGGTGTTGTAATTCCTACTTCGTCTAGAGATCAATTCAAGTATAGTTGACGGTAATTCTGGCTGAAACAATCGTAATTTTGGTAAAGCGGCAGTACATGCCATTGTGAATGTTCCTGATAATTCTTGTTCAAAAAGAGGTGAGAACATTTCAGTGAAAAAGCAATCAGAGCGCGTGCTCGTGAAACATGAGAAATGGTTCAGTGTGAAAAAATTGGGATGGATGAGACGAGTTGCGCTCTGGAAGAGCTCGGTTTTTCGATGGACCGAAAGAAACCTGCTGCGAATAAAAAAATACGAGACGGAATGAGGTTTCAACAGATGACTTTCAGGGGCTGAAACGGAGTGCTTAATTGTTGACGGGGGTGGAACTGCGCCGGATGTTGAGCGACTGAGTGGGCAGCTACGAATGGGGGAGAGAAGGGAGAGGCTAAAAGTTCCTGAAGTTCAAATGCTCTCTCTTCCGTTGTGGCACTCTTCGAGAATAGGCTTGGAAAGTTCTTGTCGTTTTCTGGTTAGGAGCTATCACCCACGAGCAGATTACGGAAAAAAGAGAAGTCACGAATGAAAAAAATCGTAAGGTTTTAGATATCCGAGAGCGCATTGACGATGAAAAAAAAAACTAAGGTTAGCAGATTTACGAACCGATAAGTTGGGGGGGAGGGGGGCTGGAATGGCCTTCGGAAGGATGGGTCCTCAGTTATCCGAACTAGCATTTTTGATTGGCAGAAGCTTCTGTTGGATGGATTGCGCGTTCAATTCATTCAACGATATCTTCAATCTTACCCCCTAAATTTTAATTTTTGGGCTTGCTGCTCTCTTCGGTAGCTTAAAGTGACGTAAAGTCTCGACAAGTCGCGGCAACCGGGGAAAATCGGTGGGTATTTTTGACTCAATCGTCAGAAGTTAAGGCAAGTTGTTGATAAGCTGTTTTCAATTTTTAAGCGTTATTTTTCTTCCCAAAAACATGATACATTCAACCACATTCACCGATTGCCTCAAAAAGAAGTAGGTATGCTAGAATCCATCATCAATCGAAGTTAACCAGAGAATATGATTGAAGCGACTTTTCCGGGGAAAAACGACATGCAAATTTTAAATTTTTTATCCCCAAAAGGTAATCAATTCTACAAGGAACATAGTAAAATCGACTATATCATCCGTTTTTCCTTGTAGAAACTCAAGAACGGCGATAATTGATGACATGATTTATGCTGTCGAATATGATATATTCAGAAGAGCCATCGAGTTTCTGTAAGCATATTTCGAACCAATTTTTACCTCAACAAAAAATCAACCATATTTCTTGTAAAAACTATCATCGAGTAACCTTTACCGGAAATACGGCAGCTACAGCGATATTTCTTGGTTGACGTCAAAATCAACTAGGTACATCTAATCATCTGTTCGTCGTGTCGAAATCCGAGGATTCTGAAAACTGATGATACGTGATGGAGTCAGGCAAAAGGGTCCTGAAAAGTGAGCATAATTCGGCAATTGGAATTAAAATTCAGTGTCTATGACAGTAAATTTCGGTTGCCTAATCCGGAAAAGTCGGTATTTATTATGAACTAAAGTTCAGTCTCTATTACCGTTTTGACAGAAATTTGTGGGGAAATGTATTAAAATGCATTTGTCATTAAAAAAGTCAAATAGTTCCCGGGTAAAAATACAAATCGTGATTGGAAATGTTGCGATGTTGATGAGCTTTTACCTTCTTTTAGCTGGGAAACGACTAGTTAACCTCCTAAGCTATGATATAAGTATCTTATTTTATTGCTCACCATCAGGGCACCTTACGGGGAATTTTTTCCCACTCCATCACGTATGGTAATGATGATGATAGCCTCAACCACATTCCTAATCGATTTCGACGTCGACCAAAAAATCAACCATATTTCTCTTGATATCTGCACTTGAAAGAAGGTGACTTGAATCTGCCGACAAGATTTCCTTTTGAATTAAGAATGAAATTACTTGAATGAAGCAGGTTTCTGCTTGACATGAGCGACTTTTTACTTAATAGAACAATATTTTAACTTGATTCGTGTAAATTTGCAACGGTAGTAGACGGATATCGACATATCGAACAAATTTCGCTGATCACTGGTTGTGTTTTAAATTGGCAAGAAAAGAAACGGATTTATGACGCCTGGAAGCAAATTTAGCTGTTTACGAAAGTCCAAAAAAATCTTGTTTGTAAAAACTTCCTAAAAACTAGAAGAATGCGAAAGCGAAAATGAACCGTTTGATTTCATCGATCAAATGCGACATTTCACATTTCCCTACTTTCCACTATATTTAAGGGTTTATGAAATGGAGTCTTTGGGGGGAAAACTGCTGATGTACTTCAAGGCGGCATGAATCTTTTCTGCACTAAGAATTGAAAAAGCAACCAGTAATCTAGCAAAGTTGGTTCAATTTTTCAATGTTAGTGTACCTACTTCCGGTATAGTTTCACCTTGAAGCATTGAGTCTAAAATTCTTCAATTTTTTCATTCCACCCTGCTTCTCTGATTTTCTCAATTCTAGGAGAAAGTCCGTGTTGGAAACCCAATGGTTCCTCTCATATTCTCTCCAGACTCTCTAAAAAAACTAGATTTTTCTCCAATTTTTAGAATTAAATATCAAATTTTCATCGTGTGTCTAAAACTTTTAAAGCTTACCTACTTTAATGCTAGCTCAAAGCGGACAGAGAATAAACCCTAGGTTTTTACCGTTAATTCCCTGACAAATCCCCTGATTTCTCTGCATATCGACGGTAAAACTGCAAAACTGCATATCTCGGTTACGGTGTTGGAAATCTCCGCTCCTATTTTATTTGTTTAGAGAAGACCAAACCAACATCATGGCTTGAAGTTTTCATAGAATATTCTTCAAAAAGAGAAGAAAAATCACTGAAGTTTCAAAAAATTAAATAAAGTATGACACGAAGTCTGTAACGCCGCAAACGGAGATACCCATTTTCGGAGTTTCACCATGGATATTTCACATTGTCAGATGAATCCCGGTTTTCCCTGTCCTGGACACCATGCCCACAGGCAAAACTACATCTTGACGGCAAATCCAAGGACAACACGGGGAAAAATGAAATCGCTGACTCAAAAAAAAAAATGCTAATTTAACCACCCCCCGTGGTTAAATTAGCTTCACCAAAAAAAAGTGAGGTTGATTTAACATTCAAGATGTACTTAATAAAATGCTGCATTACCTACCCGCTACAGCAGTTACTTTAGCAATGTCAAGATGTAAAACTAACCGTTGTGGCGGGTAGTTCAACATTTTATAAGTTCTCGCACACTTTTTTTACATCAAGAATGTTGAATCAACTTCACTTTTTTTCCGGTGCTTCCCTTATTGTAAAATGTACGTTTGGGACATATCGGGCATATTTTTCAACAGTTGAATCGTCAAATCAGCAATGCATTTTTTCCGTAAATTCTGTACGGATCGGGTCACTTTATTCTCAGGTGTATCGTTTCCGGAGTCTATTACCGAAACGGCAGCGGGTGCAAGAACATGGACGCGAGGTGGTCGGGGTCGGATCCCTTCGCGCGGCACACAAACGACAGGGACAAGGGACACCTGTTAGCGCGGGAACGGCGAGAGGGTCCGAGGGGCGCGAAAACGGCCGAGCGGGACGTGAAACGAGCGCGACTGGAGCGGCAGCGTCCCCGGGAAAACACTCGCGCCCCTCCCGCGCAGGCGCCCTGCCGCCCCGGGGATGCTCTCGCGGCATCCCCCTCCCCCCTCCGAGGCTCGGGGAGGCGCAACACGGTGTAGCGTAGCGTACGGAGCGGTTGGCCGCGGGCCGAGCAGTCCCGTCCTGTCCAATATGGTCGGAGCTCCAAGTTTCATTCAGGGCTATCGTGTATAGCGTCCACTTTGCGCCTCGTAGAAATAAACACACTGAAAACAAGATTGGTAGAATTTACCATTCTCTCGCGCTGTTTTTCATACAGCGTCAATTGGACTTAATTTTGCAATTAGGAACTATAAATTCTGGCTCATCCGAAAAAACACGTGCGTGCAAAGGAAACTGATGGTTCATACCTTGTTTTTATACTGAGTCAGAATTTATAGTTCCTAATTGCAAAATGTAGTCCAATTTAAAGTCAATTCTGCCAGAAGAAAGGTAAACGTTACTATATACTGGTACAGGTGACCATTCCTCTGGCAGAATCGACTTGAAGATTTGTAGAATTTACCATTACTTCACTCTGTGTGAAATACAGCGAAAAGGAATGGTAAATTGTACCAATCTTTTTTTTCAGTGGCACTTGGTATGCGGGCTAATCTCTTTGTCGCGAGGGCAAGGTTCGAGGAAGCCGAGTGGTTCCCTTTACCACACTGAAAAGAAAAGATACGGGCTACATAGACATACCGTCCGTTACGGGCTCAGGGGGCTAAGAGAGCTCAAGAGTTCCGGGTGCTATGCCCGGAACACTCGGCCTCTGAGCCCGGAACGAGGACGGTATGTCTATATAGCTCGTAAGTATACGGTTTCCACGGCTGGAGGTTTTTTAAGCGTGCCAGTAGGGCTCGCTTTTTGAAATCACTTGGATGTACCATAGTACAGCACACCGATAAACCAATGCTATTCAACGGGCCGTCCAAATATTTTTTCCTCGGACCCGTTTTTTTGTCTTTGAACCGTTATACTGCCAAGCCCTGATGGTCTTTTACCAAAAAACTGAATGAACTGCTGATTGGAAACTCTTGAGAACATTTTCCGGTCAAAACCGTATTATTTCATTTGACAGATCCTTCAAAAACCCTTTTTTACGCTAGAGCGATTTGAATCTAGAATATTTTTTCCCGCCGCACTTTAATGGGTGCTTCGTACCCATTGACTATACAACATGAGCCCTATGCATTACTCCATGATAGAATGCCATATCAGAACAGCTGATATTATTAGCTCTTGGTTCAGCGATTCATTCAAGCTCATGTCTCCGAAATTTCAGTTGTTCGGCACGCTTTTCCAACATATTCATGTTGGATGTTTCTCCTTGTNTTTTTTTTTTTTTTTTTTTCAGGGCACCAGATCAATTTTTTTTACCATGCGAGAACTTTAGTTGCGCGATAAGTGTTGTACTTGCTATGCTGCCGTGCTGAGGAGAACCGCTGTATGAGCCTTCAGGCGTTGCAAAATTTACTGTGACAAATTACGAACGTCCAGGATAATTTGAGAATATTTTTCTTGGAATTTCTCAGATAATTTCGTAGCAATTGATCTAAGTGTCGGAAAATTTGATGGTAAAATATTCATATCTTTCCTCAAAAAGAACACTGTACCAGAGGAAATTCTGCAAATCTGGAATGTTGATAGAGCGTTCTTCCTCAGGTCGGTAGTAGGGGAGAGGTGGGCGACGTGGAATTTGGCCTTTTAAAAAAATCTGTTCGTCCTATGGCGACTCTGGTGGTTGAAATTGAAACTGGAGAGGGTACACCTATCTATTAGAAACTGTTTATAGGCAAAAAACAACAACATAACCAATAAAAAATTACTTCAATAGAAAACCAGTCCTCCGCAAATTTTTTTCGCGCCCGTGAAAACTGATAGGGCCACGGACAAAGTGGAATGGGCGGGTAAAGTGGAATATGGTCATTTTAAAAATTTTATTCATCCTGTGGTGTTTGAAATTGAAACTAGAGAGGGTACTTATCCATTAGAAACTATTTTTATACAAAAAGAACAACATAAGCGATAATGAATCACGAAAGTAACTAGTCGGTCCTCGCCAGATTTGTTTCGGGCTCGTGAGAGCTTGATCGTCTTCAGAAGTGTCAAATTAATAAATCCATGGATTCTTTTTTTTTTTTGTAATTAAGTAGTTCCTAAAAAGAACGGATATGTAAGATTTGAAAAGGTCTAAGAAATAAGTTTTATTTTGGATTTGGTGGGAAGGGAACATATTTATTGGAGGAAAAATATCAAAGTCATTTTAGGAAAGAATGAGATTGATTAAATTTTAATAATTGAGAACCAGAGCAATGATTATGAATGACGGCAAAAAAAATTAGTCGACACTTGTTTCAATAAAAATAGATTACAAATTGCTTCCAAATCACCGCTAAGTTTACTTGAGGGATGAAATTCTACCGAAACAAAATGACTTGGCGATATAGCCTCGGTTAGATCTTGGAAACCACGTTCGCGGATTAAAGCCCCTTCAAAAATCGAGGCTGCAACACGTCGCACTTACAATTTACGCAGAATGACGTTGCGGTTGACGCGCGGGCATGGGAGCATGTCTTACAACCTTTCTCGAGTCTCTCAATCCTCAACACAACCACTCAACAGTCACGTTCAAGTTTCGTCTGTCAACATCGTCTTAACTGCTCCTGATTTACCCGTCGCTCTTTTCTTTTTGATGTCCTCGGTTGCGCAATCGTTGAGGAAAACTTCGAAATTTTTAACGCGGAAAATGTTGCTACTTTCGAAGCTTTGACAGAAACGAAAAATAACACTATCACTGAGGCTTTCGGTAGGTTTTGGCGATTCTAGGGGCTTTTTCACAAAATTTTATTAGTCTAAATTTAATTGTTCTAAGTCAAAGCCTATCGTACCCCAACGGTCGAAAATGAGGGATGCTTTTTTGTTCTTTTCTTTAAGAAACTGACCTCGTCGAGATGACTTCCATCGTCTGAGTAAAATGTACGCATAGACTCTGAAAATCAAATAAAATAACAGGCTCCAAGGGCCTGATCCCCTTTTTTCAATTTGTATTTCTAACCATTAAACGAGCCCAACCCCCAGGGATGCCACACCTGGCAACGAAGAAACCCAGCCCCGAGGGGCCCCACCTGGCATCCAAGAAGCCCAACTCTCAAGGGTTGCTTCACCTGGCACGCAAAGAAATCTTGCGACCATAGTAGGTATCGAGCCGTCCAAAACCCCGAATCTCACGTGCAAGAAAATAGTCGCTTACTGGGTTATCGCTTTTACTCGGCCTATTCTCCCAAAATGTTTAAATAGTAACATTATACGAGATGTACCTATGGGTTCAATACGTTCACCATCGTTATTTCAACACATTAGGGTGTTAGAGTGGTTCGTCTGTGTGAATCTAGGCATTGCAACACCCACCCAACATTGCAAGGGAAGAACTTAGAGAAATTGCCAATGTGCTCACTATGATTTTTGACTCATATTGCATACAATTCACATATCTTTTCAGCAGTTGAGTTTAATTTACATTAGGCTCGTTCAGCGTGTCTTGTTCCGGATACGAAAGCGCATATCGACGATGTAAGTCGGCAATCACATAACTCGATTTGCGACGTCGCAGACTTCCTGTCAAACTGCCTTTTTTAAACGTAAAACTACTCAACGGCAATTCTCTAAAACTGCCATGATTTTTCTTCTCTGTGCGAAGAAAATTCTGCGTAAACTTCAAGGAATGATGTCAATTTGTTCTCTTTTAAAAAAATAACATAGAGGCGGAGATTTTCAGACACCGCAAACAAGATATCGATGGTGAAACTACCATACCACGTATCTCGGTTTGCGACGTCGCAGACTTCCTGTCATACTTTATTTTTTAAATGAAAAACTACGTAATGTCCAGTCTTGAGAATTTCTGTGATTTTTCCTCTTCGTGCGAAGAAAATTCTGTGAAAATTTCAAGGAATGATATTGATTTGGTCTATTTCAAAAAAATAAAATGTGAGCGTAGATTTTTAAACACCGCAAACGAGATACGTGGTTTGGTAATTTCACCGTTGATATGCGACTGCCGACTTACGTCGTCGATATAGTCTATCCAAACGTCACTTTTTCATGTTAGCCTATACCATAGGTACTTCGTTGGTGCACCGTTTCTTTTAGGATAATGGAACGGACTGCACGTAAACGTGCTATTAACGAACTAAAATCAGCAGGGTTGAATTTCCTTTAATCCCGCCCGATGCAATTTACGGAGCACGGGCAGTTTCTGTCTGATTTTGAGCAGGCTCTGTATACCCACTTCGCTCCGTTATTGAAAACTATTGTTAACCCCAGAATGCGTCCAGGTCGCCTCAAGAAGGCCTGAAGAATGGTTCAAGTAAAATACCAGATTCTTGGCCTTTCCAGTGCAGTGCAGAAAATCGCCCAGGTAAGAAGCGTATAAGTGCGAGAGAGACAGCAAATAGCCACGCGGGACTTGGGTGGTTTTTCCGTCAAAGCAGCAACGCGTTCCCCCGCGACCCTCCGAGAGTGGTTGCACCATCGGTTGCCCCGTTTCCAGTGCGAGAGAGACAGAAAATCGCCCAGGTAGCAAGCGTATAAGTAGGAGAGAGATAGAAAATCGCCTTGCACGACGCGATTGTGTGCGAGAGAGACAGAAAATAGCCACGCGACTCGCTAAAGTGTGCGAGAGAGACAGAAAATCGCCCAGGTAGGAAGCGTATAAGTGCGAGAGAGACAGCAAATAGCCAGGCGGGACTTGGGTGGTTTTTCCGTCAAAGCAGCATCGCATTCCCCCGCGACCCTCCGAGAGTGGTTGCACCCTCGGTCGCCCCGTTTTCAGTGCGAGAGAGACGGAAAATCGCCCAGGTAGCAAGCGTATAAGTGCGAGAGAGATAGAAAATCCCCTTGCACGACGCGATTGTGTGCGAGAGAGACAGAAAATAGCCACGCGGCTCGCTAAAGTGTGC